CTCCAAGGCACTACACGAAACAGATTATACCAGCTAGCAAATCAAACTAAGAAGGAAACTCTGTGATCAGAATGCTTCATCTAGAGCAGGGGCGCACTGCCACTAGACAGGCTCTGAGAGTGCACGGGGAACCCCTTTGTTAAAAGACAAAAAGGAACAGACAAAAGCACTTTACAACCTCCTCAGGAGCGCCAGACACGGTGCTGAAACAGTGGCCAAGGCAACAAGGCTGTCAGGCTGTCAATAGAAAGCACTGGATAACGGCACGTCTGGGTTCTCTGGCGCTGCTGCACCAGAAAGACCACAAATGGTGACTTTAACAAGCACACTCGTTTTCTCACTGGTGAGGAGGCGAGAAGTGCAAATGCAGGATCCCAGCTCCAGGGATACATTTCCCCTCTTTGTCGACTGGCGGAAGGTCCTATCTCTTCAGATCTTCCGCTCCAGGACCTCTTCATGTGACTCGGCATCTCTGGTCCCCTGGCTCTCCCTCACTGGTGGAAGCTCCTGGATCCCTCGAGAGATTGATTCACGGCACACCCTACACTAACCCTGACTCAGTCACAGAACAAATACAACCCATTCCCAAGTAAATTGTGATCACTGACAAAAAGATTAGGATTTACAACATATATTTTTATGGGATGTAATTCATTTTGGTTCTCTGAAATTCAATGTCATTGCCATGTGCAAAATACATTCACCTGTTACATCATCTCAAAAGTCTCAAATTCAAGCCAAGTCCAAAATCGTACCTTAATCTACCTGATCTGATTCATCTAAATCAAATATGGGTGAAATGTTATGAGTATTCTATCCTGGGACAAAATTTCTCTTCCTCTGTGATCCTGTGAAGTCTGTTAATACAGATATGTTATCTGCCTCCAATACAATGATCGAACAGGCACAAGGTAGCGGTTTCCATTACAAACGGGAGAAAGGGGAAGGAGTATGGGGAAGAAGCAGGTCTAAAAACCCAGAACAATTTATTGGCTCTCAAATCGTGAAAAGAATCCTCTTGTCTGAAACCATCTAAGCAATGGTCCTGCCCCTCCTTCCTCTGGGTGTTGGCCATGTTCTCCAGACTTTGAGAGGCCCCTTGGCTGTGAGCTTCAGCTTCACCATCCAGTCCCACTGAGGTGACACGGTGGCTCTCTCAAAACTGGGTGGCCCCACCCTCCTAGTCAAGCTAAGTGGCAATCCTGTCCCCTCAGCCCTCGCAGGCCTGCTCTTCTGCCCTTAGACATGGCAGGAGTCCCCTCAGCTTTGGGTAGCAGCCCCATCCTCATGGCCAAACTAAGTGGCAGCCCCACACTCCAGAAATGAGTTGGGGAAGAAACCTAAGAGGCTATGACTACCCTTTAACACCCCACAGGCTGTGGTGCCACCCTTTGAAAATGACAGGGGCCACGATCGGATCCCACTCTTTGGGCCTGAGCCAGATGGGCTGCTTCTTCCAAGAGTTCTGATCTGCTAGCTGCTTCAAGGTTTGTCCTTTTTTCGCCCCTTGTAGGACAATAGACATTGCCCCTTTGGTCTCTTTTTTATAACCTATAGAATTTCAAGAGGCAGATAACATTCTCTGTCCCCTTAAGTGTCAGCAAATGGACTTTGTGCTGTGGTAGTTGGCTGTACCCACCGGTCATAGGCTTATCATCATTAACAACAGATTGTGAACCCATGATCATGGTGAAAATTCTAGTATGTGTGTCCTTAGTCTACATAACAGAATTAGAAAATTAACAGAAAATAAAGTAAATATGTACATTGCTATATTTATATATTGCACTGTTCACTATTTTTTGTTTGTTTCCTTTTTAAAAATCATTTTATTGGTGGCTCATACAGCTCTTATCACAATATATACATGCATCCACTGTGTCAAGCATATTTGTGCATTTTTTGCCATCATCGGTTTCAAAACATTTCTTTTTTTAAATCATTTTATTGGGGACTCATACAACTCAACACAATCCATACATCCATTCATTGTGTCAAGCACATTTGTACATTTGTTGCCATCATCATTCTCAAAACATTTGCTTTCTACTTGAGTCCTTGGTATCAGCTCATTTTCTCCCCTCCCTCCAACCCTTGATAATTTATAAATCATTATTTTTTCATGTCTTACAGTGACCAATGTCTCCCTTCACTCACTTTTCTGTTGTCTGTCCCCCAGGGAAAGAGTTATATGTAGATCATTGTCATCGGTTCCCCCCACCTTCCCTTTACCCTCTTGGTATCACTACTCTCATTATTAGTCGTGAGGGGTTTATCTGTCCTGGATTCCCTGTGTTTCCAGGTCTTATCTGTACCCACATACATGCTCTGGTCTAGCCAGATTTGTAAGGTAAAATTGGGATCATGATAATGGGGGAGGGGGGGAGCATTAAAGAACTAGAGGGAAGTTGTGTTTTGTCGGTGCTATACTGCACACTGACCTGCCTATCTCTTCCTTGTGACTCTTCTGTAAGGTAAGGTGACCAGATTTTAACATTGGTAAAGCGGGACATCATTGATAAAACTCATATCCTGGCGAAATAGCCACAAGGCAGCCGAAAACCATATACCCTAGCTTGTTGTGCATTCTTTCCAAAAATCGGGACTTTTAAAAAATGCCGCAGGACGCAGGAAAAAACGTTAAAAATCAGGACTGTCCCACCAAAAGCGGGGCGTCTGGTCACCTTACTGTCAGGGGATGTTCAACTTTCTCCAGATGGGCTTTGGGTCTCTACTCTGCACTCCCCCTCGTTCACATTGATATGACGTTTTGTTCTGGGTCTTTGATGCCTGATACCTGATCCCATCGACACCTCATGATCACACAGGCTGGTGTGCTTCCTCCATGTGGACTTTGTTGCTTCTCAGCTAGATAGCCACTTGTTTGTCTTCAAGCATTTAAGACCCCAGATGCTACATCATTTGATAGCCAGGCCCCATCAGTTTTCTTCACCATATTTGCTATGTACCCATTTTGTCTTCAGTGATCCTGTCAGGAAGGTGAGCATCACGGGACGCCAGGTTATTAAAACAAAGTGTACTTGCATTGAGGAATTCCTTGAATAGAGGCCCAATGTCCATCTGCTACCTTACTACTTAACATATAAATATAGGCACTGTACACAGATCTATTTCCCTATCATTATAAATATATTTATATATGTACATGCCTGTATTTAGACCTCTATAAATGTCCTTTGCCTCCTCCTAGTTCTTTCCTCTATTTCCTTTTACTTTCTTCTTGTCCCACTATCATGTTCGTCCTTCATTTGGGTTTCAGTAATTCCTCTCAGTTACATTGCCCTTGATCAAGCCCTACCAGGAATCCTATGCCCTCCTTGCCATTGATTTTAGATCACTTGTTGGTCCCTTGTCCCATCTTATCTTCAGTAGCAAGGACAAACCACACAGCCCCTGTAGGCTCTTGCTTAGAAATTTCCTTAGCCAAAGTTAAAGTATACAACTATGATCATGAGACCAGTTACGGTTCCTAAGTGACCTACTAGAAATGTGCTCGCTAATTCAGTCTATTCACTGCTTGTCCTCCACGAGTACATTCTCAACTTTTCTGCCTACTGGTGGTGTGACCTTGGACAAAAGATCATCTCTCGGAGCTTCAATCTTCTCCTCAGGACAGTGGCAGTTTATTGGGAAAGAGGAAAAGAATGACCATACTCCCTGGTGGTGAGCTGAAAGGCTAGCAGTTCAAGCCCATGCAGAAGCTCTGTGGGAGAAAGACCTGGCCACCGCTCCTGTAAAGATCACCATCGAGAAAGCCCTCTGGGGCGGTCAGTTCTTCTCTGTCCCCCGGGGTCCAGCAGTTACTTACCCAACAGCAACTAACAACAACAAACCGTGCCCGTAATCAGAGGAGTTCAGAAAAAATCACTCTATGTAGTCCTCATGTTTTCACCAGAAAAGAATATATTGATTCCTCTTAAAGCTTAGAGAGCTCCCCTCCTTCCCACATCCCACAACACCAAAAATGGTTTAACCGATATCCTAGTTTCCCATGCAAATATCTTCTTTCATCCCAAGACCTCCTGTCTCCCTCTCCACACTCGCTGTCTACTACAGGCACCCCAAAATTCTCGCAATTGAGAATGCCATGAACCATTTTACAAGAAAACTTAGAAAAGAAGTACTAAATTTGAATACATGTTTTGAATGAAAAGAACTGCTCAATTAATTTATCCATCTTATACACATAAATCAGAAAGCAAACTAACCAAAAATCTTAAAATACGCTCCTGAGTTCAAATTACTTTGAATTACAGTTGTCATTCTATTAACCGCCTTCCCTTACACTGACATTAGCACCCAAAGTAGAAGATCCCAAACATACGCCTACAAAACTAATGTTTGGGTCTTTTAAAAATACTTTTATTGGGGGCTCTTACATCTCTTATCACAATCCATAAACTCCTCCAATGTGTCAAGCACATTTGCACATATGCCACTATCATCATTTTCTTTCTTGTTTTAAAAAATTTTTAAATCATTTTATTAGGGGCTCATACAATTCTTATCACAATCCACACATACATCAATTGTGTAAAGCGCATTTGTACATTCACTGCCCTCATCATTCTCAAAATATTTCCTCTCCACTTAAGCCCCCGGCATTAGGTCCTCATCAAAACTAATGTTTTACAAAGTAGATGAGACCATTTTTTTTTTCTTTTCTGATTTCCAACTGGGAATTCCTGGATTACTATTCTTTCCCTAAACAACCTCAAAAACATATCACTTCAAATTATGCACTGTTAAGAGTCCTTCATGCAAAAACATGCCAGATGCCTTCAGCACCTAATTATTTCAGTGTTTTATAGCACATTCATTCAAAGAGCAGAGTACTGTATTTTTAAATAATTTGTCTTTCCTGCCAAACCTTCTGTGTAATCCCAAGGGCAAAGCAGTGTGCATACATCCCTCACCTCACAGGGCTGAATTATTTCTGGATCAGCACGCCCGCCCCAAGTTTGGCGGGGACAACTTACACTTACTGCTGTAAGTACTCAGCTCACTGTGGGTGCTGGCCACGGAGGAAGTGCTTCCTGTGCTCCCTGGTGTCGAGCTTTTCAAAGACGCTTTAGACTTAGGAAGTGGTCTAGACACGTTCACCCAGGACGCTCCTGTGCTTTTCAGGGATGTAGGTTTTCCTTGGGGTTAAAACAGAGAAAAGTTTCCACTGCTGTCCACTTAGGAAGTTGGAACTCTAAGACTGTAAACTCAAACTTCTGTGCTAATGATTAATAGTGAATGAATATTCAGAATCATTGCAGATGAAATATGAAAGGTTCTTTCATGTTTGCTTATTTTGGTAATTCAGGGCAGAGCTGAGAAGAGGAGTCCATTGGGATAAGAGTGGTAGCTATAATCGCACAGTCTGCAATAATTAACTCAGACATCTTCTCCGCAGGTGTAGAGATGAGTATAAGCCATAAGAGACAAAAGTTTTGGGCAATGTGGCAAAGTTCAAATCAAAGAATAAATAAATTGATAAGGCTTCACCTCTTCCCCCATATGTTTGATGAAAATAGGGCAGAAACAATACAAACATGCTTATGCACACACTAGACTGTAACATAATAAATCAAGCTCTCAAATTCACTGTCATCGAGTTGATTCTGACTCACAGTGACCCTACTAGATGGGGTAGAACTGCCCCTGTGGGTTTCTGAGACCAACGCCTTCCAGAAGTAGGAAGCCTCATTGTTCTTCCTCAGAGTAGCCGGGAGTTTCGAACTGCTGATCTTGCATGTTCCACCACAGCCCAAGGTGTAACTAACCACTACGCACCGGGGCATAGGTGAATTTTGGTGAAAGTCAAGAAAAAAAATCCAATTCAATAAGAAATGCTTCAGTTGGGACTGCCTAACACCAGGTGGTGCTATAGCATCAGGCTTCATTTCATCTCTGTTTGATTAGGGATCTACTCCATAGCACTGTATTTGGGTTTTGTTTGTTGACCTCCTAGAATGCGGCTGTCACTGAAATTTCAAACTCGATCTTGAAGCAACTATTTCCACTTGCCAGTGAATAGGTGCATTGGTATTCTCTGTCATCTTTGAAACCAGACATCACATTATCGGAAAACTTTAAAAATATTTTCCTTAGTTCAAAGTACTTAGAAATAGGTGTGGTGTTCTCAGCCATCTTACATTAAATGTAAGATTGTGCTTACAATCTGCTACCAACGTTCAGCAAAACCCAAATTCAGCGCTCTGCCCTCGATTCCTCAAACCACTCTCTTGAGGCGATTCACGACTTCACCCCAACCCACACCCTACATGGGTCACTTCCAGTTCTATCCTCCTGAGCCCCAGGGTCCCCCATGCTTTACCCTGGGTAGTAAGACACCCTCCTAAATGATCCATGAGGTTAAACAAGAGCTCCATTTCTCCTTGTCCCAGTCTTAAAGTGTCGGCATCATCCTTTCTCTCCAGGATCCTCATACAATCCAGTACCGGCTCTTTCAGTGTAACTAGTAGTGTCACATATCTGAGGGGTTTTGGAGTAGAAAAAGGCCTGAGATGAAGTGATATTGTCCCTAATGGGGCTGAGAATAGAACTCGCTGGAAAGTAATTGTTAGGCCCACTGATCCACATGTCCCCTGAGCTGTGACATTTAAGTCACCCTCCTAAAGGCTCTACCTGGATCTATAGCCTTCCTCCTGTACTACTGCTTACTACGGGTGTGGCTGCTGCTGCAATCAAGCTGGTTTTCTCTGCGACACCAAGATAAACCGCATGCCACGAATCTGCCATTTCTCTGCAAAGGCCTTGCTGTTTTGGAACTGAGCCGGCCACTGGGCGCAGACACAGGCCTCCACTGCTACTCATCTGCGACTCCACCCCAGCCCTGCTAAGTCAGTCTGCGCTTTAACAAGATGCCCAGGTGATCTGAATAAACAGGGACTCGGAACCCCTTTGTGTGCCTGCACTGCCCTGCCAGGACACCCTCCTCCGGGTGGAATGGACCGTCCCTTCCTTCTCCTCGCACCACACACTTGCTTCTAGCACAGCATCTGCTTCCCCCTGCCACCTGATTATTTATTCTCCACAGTCCCCAAGTCTAGTTCTGTGCCCCAGGACCTAGGAGTAACAATACATGTTTGATCAATAAATTTTTTTTTCTTTTAAGGCAAATTACATAATAAAATGATAGCGTCCACTCATTGCAATATTGAATCATTAAACACTTAACCTACTTTTATTCAATTATTAGTCTCTTCAGTCTAGAATCAGGTAAAATACAGCCTTTTTTACATATTACAATGATTAGCAAATAGATATCCAAATTTTAATTCCTCTATCTATATTTAGAAAGTAATAGTTTGTTGGGAGGGATAAAGCAAGTACAACTGGCTGCTCACTGAGTTTACAATGTAAACCTATCAGATTACTACGCCTTAGGCAGAAATATTCTGATGAGTCATCGTCATTAGAAACCAAGAGCAAGGCTGGGCAAGTGATCACAACTCCTTAAGTACAGCCGCAGTGCAGTCAATGCTCAGGAAGTAGTAACAAAAAAGCTGTACAAACAAGCACACTCTTCAGAAAGGTATGTTTCACAGCATTTGATTTACCACATTGCCAGAAACCAGAAACAAACTACTCAGAAACCCAAACGTCATACCTCTTGCCTGCACTATCTCATTTTCACAAGTCCACTGTCGCCCCATCCTTATCACCTCCACAGCAGGCTGAGCTCCACTCCAAAATCTTCCCCATTCCTCCTCATGTCTACTGAGTGCTGAGCTCACCGAATAGCGTGTCTTTCACTAAAGGATTCCTTCCTTTGAGCACCAGAGTATCCTAACATACAGATAAGGCCATATATTATTAGTATTACTATTATTCTAGTATTTTACTACTATTGCCATTCACTTCCAGTTTATAGATTACAGAGGAAAGATAAAAATAATTGGACAGCAGTGAGCGAAGTTGGTGCTTCATCAACACTCCTAATGTTGAACTGAACAGTATGGTTGGCTTAAGAGCACTGTAATTGGACTTCATATAAGGAAAACAGTAAAACATATACATCATATGCAATATCAAAAGTAAGGTATGACAACATTCGGCTAGCTAGGAGATGTCAAGTAACTTAAGAGCCAATTTTTAAAGCAAGGAAATCGAGAGGGATATGCTCTGGCTCACAGTTCTAATAGAAGGTGACACTTCCTAAATCCCAGAGACGGACAATAAGATTTAAGATCTTATTGCCCTTATAGGTTTATGCAGTTAGCATCCACACTCACCACCATTGAGTCAATGCCAACTCAAAGCATCGTATAGGACAGAACAGAATTGCCCCTGTGAGCACCGGAAGCTGTGACTTTTTATGGGAGTAGAATGTTCCATTTTCCTCCCTCAGAACATCTGGCGGTTTCCAACTGCTGACCTTGCAGTTAGCAGGTCAACTCGTAACCACTACGTCACCAGAACTCCTGTAGTTAGCATAGACAGACATGTAAACAACAGAGTTGTTTATATTTGATCATTATAACTACATTTTGGTCTAGGGAAAATCTGGTGGCAGGAACAGCATTTGTACCCTGCTGTACTGACACAGAGAATCTACTAACTTTGAGGTGTCCATTCATTCATTAATCAAGCAATCTATTTCACTAATCAAGACAAAAACCACAGAAACTCCAACAAAGTAGACTGTGTTCAACCGCAGCAGCAGCCACATCAACCCCGGGAGGAATGCCTTACAACTCTCTAACTGGAATCAGAGGACACGTGAAGTGAAGGGGGAGGTTGTGGTGGCGGTATTAACATCGTAATTGTTAAAGTTTATATTCTATATTTTAAAATTCCAAAAGGATATACTGGGATTTAACGGGCCTGGTATCAGCTATGGCTGTAAGCGGTGGAAAGAAAGTAATGAGACAAGATTTGGGGCATTTTCTCTTCATTCTTTTATCTGTGTGTATGCATTACTCTTATATGCATTTTCTTCTTACAGTGGCCATATTTTCATAATAAAAACTACTAAATATCATTAAGGTCAATAAGGTCAAATCTTTTCTCAGGCAAAATACACCTAAAGATACCAGGAAAGGGTGGATTGGATTAATAAATAGATTGAAATAGTCTGTTTTATCCCTGGGATTTGTAAGCAGCAACTATTGTTCCATCCTTTCTTTTTTTTCCCTCTTAGGAGTTAAAAAAAGGAAAAGTCATCAGCAAATAAAGGAGTGGATGCCTTAATTAATGCTTTCATGGTTGTTTTTTAACAAAATAGCCATCTTACTACTATAAATTTCATGATACCATAATGGGGATGGTTCCCAAAACAGCAAATTAAAGCCAAAGAACGGCCTCTTGAACCGACCTCCTTTGTTCTAAAACCTCTATCAAGTGGTTCCTGAGAGCTCTGGGGTGCTTCTCAGGCGCACGCGCCGTCATCTTTCAGCTCCTCCTTTTTTTAAGGAAAAGCCCTGGGAAAGAAGGTGGGTCCCACCCATGCTGCTCAGGGACACACCTTCAAAGTCATGAGCGTGCTTCAAAGACTTGTTCTTTAGAGTGATAAAATGTGTGGGTTTTGAAGTTAAGTTTCAATTCATTGGCCAAAAAACCCTTGAACATTACCTATATTAGAAGATAGGAACTGTCTTAACAAAAATCTGGACAAATAGATTTGCATGAGAGGTTATTTTACACAAAGATTTACTTCCTTGGATAGTAGGATAACTGCAGTAATCAATGCTTAAATGTTTACAGGACAAACACCTGACATCCTTCTACACACATCAGCACCTAATATGTTCGGTAAAAAATCTAGACGCATACTACGGAACACATTGTGCCTTATCATAACAATGTTCTTGTTTTGTGATAATGTTATTGTTCATGTTTTTGTGCTTTGATATGCATTGCTTAGGAGGTACATGGAACCCTGAGGTTTACAAATGTAGCTCTTGCTGCTAACCGAGAGGCTGACATTCAAGTTTACCCAAATATAACTTGGGGGGGGGGGGAGGAAGCCTGGTGATTTGCTCTGACAAATCAGACCCTCTACTCCCCCCACACAGGGGGTCTTTGTGAGCTAGAATTGGAATGATGGCAAGTGGGTAAAGGTAAGGGAAGACCTAGACAATGGGGCAAAAGAGGTGGATGGGAGCAGTTGGGTGGGATGTAGCATTAA